AGATTTCATCCCAAGAACATCTATCTACCATCTTAACATGAGTTTTGAAAAGTATTAATCCGTCTATTGGACCGTGTTTCATAGGTGCGCTTAAGTTTGGTATTGATGAAAATATGTCAATTCTTTGACGTGTAAGATGCTGCAAGTCCCCTATTATGTTTTTGACCCGATTAAGGCTATCGACGAACGTATAAAATAAAATAAACGTATCGGAACCTTAGTTTAAAGTAACCTTCAGTTAAGGGCTTTTAAATTCTTTTGGCCATCCAACTTTAGACCTGCATGGAAAGACCTGAGAAAATTACACGGAGCGATTTTTTTTAAATCTTGATTTAACCGCGGATAATAGAAAGTGAACAAGCTATAGTAATAAATAGATGTGCTGACTGTCACATCAACCGACCTAGTATCACGCTGTCTTTTCGTAGAATCGAAGCAAGACTCTCTCAGAAAATAAGAGCGGATAGAAGCGAAGCTAGACACTCAGAGTGTAAGATCGACTGAAGTGTCTTTAGGCCATTCCCAAAGGGGAGACATTAACTTGTTCTTATGCACAGTAGAATTGTAAATGGGCTGATTTAACAATGTCATGCTCATAACTGTGCCTGAACTGCAACAGAGAACTGCTGCTTTTTCTTCCCTAATCCTTACTATCGTCATTTCCCCTCTACTTCTTTTGTATGTTTGTCACCCTCTTGTGACCCGCTATTTCCGGGTGCCTTGATAGTCGAAGTAGACTTAGTGCTGTTGAAGCTAGAGAGGTGAGCAGAGTAAGCCTGATTCCCTGTAAGGACTTCTCTGTTGACATCCACCCCTTGGCGCTCATATGACCTTATTCAGTTGTGAGCGCCGTAAAACCTCTACTAAAACTAAAACTAGAGTGTAAAACCAGAGCGTATAGAAGCGAAGCTAGTTGTAAGAGCGTATAGAAGCGAAGCTAGTTGTAAGAGCGTATAGAAGCGAAGCTAGTTGTAAGAGCGTATAGAAGCGACGGCAACTGATAGTAAAGATGGAGCGGATGTGTCTACTTCAGCCCCCACTCCCCTTCCATTCAGAACTTCCTTGACATTTGACATAGCCAATTCTCCATTGTCTGCGGGGTCAACATCTTGTACAACATTACTGGGATCGTTGTGACGAAGGCAGCTACAGGCGCGAAGGACCGTTTTAACCTAGTTTGTTTAGAGTGAGGAAGGAGGGGGGGGGGGGGGGGGGGGAGTAGACCTTTACCTGAATATATTGGCTATTAATACCTTAAATTACTGAAATGTTCACAGGTTTATTATAGAATAACAGTTTATCTCACTTCATCCGTAGGCCTATATTATATATATATATTATGCTATGCTATAATAACACTGCACGTTACTGCCTACCGAACGCACACATCTATAAAAAAATGTAAACAATAAAGAGTCTATATAGCGAGAGAAAACACAGAAGGGGCTCTCGTGGCCTTCAGGTTAAGGTGTTCGCCTCTCATTCAATAGCTCCCGGGTTCGAATCTGGATAGCGACGGAAAATTCTCTCCTCTTAAATTTCTCCTTTCACATCCTTTCCTACTGTCTTACAATGTTCTGTCGTCTGCTTTTGTCTACACTTTCTGCCCCCCCCTTTTTCACCTCATTTAAATTGCCCCTACCATCTGGGCTCCTCTCTCTTTCTGCAGCCTTTCTACTGCTACTTCTTGCACGGTCCCTTCTTACTGTGTCTTTCAAATGGTAGGAAAGATCTACACCTCGCCTTCTCCGACAAGGGCGAAACATGTCGGAGATCGCATGAGCAAGTTGCGCACGTTAAATATCCTTTGGTGATTAAAAATCGATAGGAGTAGGTTTCGGTCGCCACCCTGGCAAAAAGTGTCCTACCAACTGAAAATGTTAAATGTAACCCACGTGCTCACACGATCTTATGCAGTTGCGAGCGCCGTAAAACACTTACCAAAAAAAAAAAAAAGCCACAAAAAATAACAACAACAAAACACTTACCCAAAAAGTAAATACATAAATAAAATTTGCTCTCTTTATTAATCTTTCTATAAAATCAACTTACAACCATTCAACGTATAAGTATCGGAAGTGAAACGATTGGTATAATTATAACTTGAGCGAATTCTAATACATGGATATAAGCTGACTTGTACAGTATAATTAAACCCTCTGATAGTGATATAACATCATCCCTGAATGGTTTAGGTATGCGGTCGGACATAATAATAATAATAATAATAATAATAATAATAATAATAATAATAATAATAATAATAATAATAATGATACTTGTACATGTAATCATGGTAACAATATAATAATACATGTAATAATAATAATAATAATAATAATAATAATAATAATAATAATAATAATAATAATCATGAAAATAATCATAATAATAATAATCATAATAATAATAATCATAATAATAATAATAATAATAATAATAATAATAATAATAATAATAATAATAATGTTAATAATAATAATAATAATAATAATAATAATGTTAATAATAATAATAATAATAATAATAATAATAATAATAATAATACTAATAAAAATAAAAATAATAATAATGATACAATGTAATAATAATAATAATAATACATGTAATAATAATAAACAGGATGTGTCATATCCCCACTTGACAGCAAGCTCTATACGCTTTACACTCAGCAGACCATAATATTAATATATAGAACACTCAGATATTTTCAGCTCCGCGGAAGGCACACAGCTGATTAGATCTAGGCGCTCAAACACAAATTACAAACTGACAAAATCTTTCACTGTCTATATTATATCTAGAATCTAGGTACCCCCGTTCCCACCTGGGTGGAGAGGACAATTCGTGTAAAAAAGTGACTTTCCCGAGGACACAAAACGTCGTGCCCCTGACGGGATTCGAACCCACGACATTAATTACTATTGCAAGTCCGAGAGCCTAACCGACGCCACATGGTGACGGAGATTTCTGTACTCTGAACACATAAATAAACCGTTATATATGATATATGGGGGCTCTCGTGGCCTAGAGGTAAAGGTATTCGCATCTCATTCAAAGGTACCGGGTTCGAATCCGGGTAGCGACTGAAACATTTTCTTCTCTAGAACGGTCTCCTTTCACCTCCTTTCCTGCCTTGTAGCAAAGAGGTAACATAATATTATACATACATGTAGTGTGTACGATCTAGCTTGTAACTCAGACCGGGTTCACTGATCTGACGGCTGGTCTCAGACATCCTAGGGATTAGCACTGCTGTTGTCGTCTGTTCTTGTTTGGAGATCGGACGTGAAACTGGTCCATTCTTTCGTGCACGTGTTTGCCTATGTGGTGTGTATTTTATAATAGCCGGACCCTAGACGCTCTGAGTAGTATAAGAACGTATAGGCCGGCCCCGTTTTCTTGTGCAAATGTTAGACTGTGCGGTCCATGTATGGTATTATATAGTCGGCCCCATTTTCTAGTGCAAGTGTTAGACTATGTCGTACCGTGTAGGCTGTACCAATGATCTGGCCTGTACTATCTTTGGTAGTAAATTATAGTTGGTCCCACTGTTCAGTTATACATGTAATTCATAAAAGGCTTTTGTAGAGCGCAGTATATCCTCGCTCTACAGCATGCTCTCGGGGCTTCACATTTTGAGCCCACCTATTTTAAAAAAATAAAAATTAAAAAACAGGCAGATTCTTTATAAATTGACAACCATCCATTGTATGTGCTCAAGATATGTTTTGTCAAAATTCAGAATCTAAATGTTGAAAAAGACAAGAATAGATACATATCGTTGGTTCAAATTGTTAAAAGAACGAAACTCAGTTTTATCTCTCATGAAAAAAAAAAATGCTTTCCGGGATTAGAACACACAATTTGAATAAATGGCCTGCGATTTTTCGATCCAATTTTCTAGAGACTTAGGCTAATAATGTTGGCAACAACAGTGACGCATTTCCACTATTTATCGTAATATTTTAATTACAGCTGGACAGATGAACAAGTTTCCGCGAGCCTTTGGACTCTACAGGAAATGCGTTAACGATTCTGCAATAACAAGAAAGAAAGTCCCGAAGGGGAACATTTTTAGTTTTATTCGTTTTACCGCACTTGCGCAGTACAATAAGGTCACATAAGATTAGAGATGTGTAACAATTACGAGAGGGCAATAAACACAAAAAGTGGAGAGATTATAATTATAAGATGATGATATTATTGTGTTTGACAGGAAAAAAGGAGTAGCCTAATTAAATAACACCAGAACACCCGCCAACCACTCGCGGGGAAAGTCTTAAACTGCACCCCACTTAATAAAACCAATAAGACATTGGTTTAGAAAACACATTAAAGCTATTTTTAACAGTCTGCATCTTTGAAATAAACATAATTTGTGCTTAGATCCACGTGACCTAGCGTAAACACCCGACCCGCTACCCAAGATTTGCAACAGGTGACTGACTGAGACTGAGTGACTAGGCCCAGTGACTGGCGACTGGAACTAGAATCTAGTGGAGCGTTCCGTTTGAAAACGTTCATCAAAGACTCTCTGAAGTTACTATGTTGTTTACTTAAATGAACGCAATCTCTATTCTTTTTCCCGTTAGTAAGGGTCTCACAGATCGTTTTCATTTTTATAAAAGATATGTGAAGTGGGGAAAAAAAGAAGAAAACTATCAAAATTACCAAAGTTAACGCGATATAATGCAAACGGCTTTCTGTGAGAATAAGCTCATTTTTTTCGCGGGGAATCCAGACGAGGCCCAGATTTTTTTCTGGACCCCTAATAGCAACAGCATTGACAATCACAGGTTGCCAAACAGGCGAAACACTCAATGATGTCAACACGAAGGAAAAGAAGACTATAATATCATTTACCTACCATTTTATTATTATTTAGAGAGTTTAATACGATTTCAAAATCAACAATAAGCAGAGTCACTTAATCAGCAATAGGCCTAGGACACAATATGAAGCTTGCTATCTCGCTATAATTTACACGTTCTTTTCAAAGCCTCTGAACCGTATTCGCATCTTGGAACTGGCAACTGGTCGCATGCCCACTGCCTTCTCTGTCTGCCACCATCCCAGTCCCACCCCAACACTAAACACACACTTGTTCGTTCAACACTCAACACATAAAATGGACGACTGGAACGACGGCGCTCCTGCCTCTGTAAGATTTTAACATGTTTCTACTGTTTGTGTGTTTGTATTATAGAACTACAAATAGCGCTTTTTCTTCAGTAGATCTAGATCTATGTTTAATTACACGTCTGCACCCAGATCTAATATTCAGTATTCACTCACTCATCATGTTTACAGAAGAAAAAGCATATCATGCTGCCCAAGGCCGAGCAACAAGGCCAGCAGAGACGGAGAGACTGGACAGGGGGTTTTGTGCGTGTTATTTTTAAAACAAATTTTAAGGCAATTTTCTGGAAACAAAATTGTGCGTTTCAACTTTGAATAATATATTCTAGGCCTACTGTAAAACAAATGACTGTCTAAAGGCTAAATATTCTGAATGAGTCGTATCACGTCATTTAATTTCATCGTCGTCATGAAGCATGGTGATGGCGATGGAATCTCTTTCCTTGCTTCCATGACTCCAGACAGTTGACAGCATGCCGCATGGTCAAATTGTCAGGGTGCAATAGGCTAACTTGAAAACAATAGTTAGATCAAGGCCTGTACTTTGCTTGGACATAGCCTAACTTGTTTGATGCAGAAGCTCAAAGGAGCCAAACTTTCCCCTTGAGCACCTTGTTTAGCCTCTATACTGAACTGATAGCCTATTCAAGACTTAACTGAAGCTTTTTAAGGGCATTAGGCCTACCTAGGCTATTTATTACAGTATTTTTACATTTAATTTGATATTTTACAGTTAGATTTGAAGTTGTCTTGAAAATAATTGATAAGCGACAGTTTTAGTGGCTTTATGTGTGATCTGCAGCAAACAGTACAGCAGTTTGACCCCTGAAACAGTGCATCTGTGTGCGGGAGTGAAAGTAAAAATTTACCCAGTATCTTCCAGGAAATATGAGCAAAACATGATGTACTTCTGGAATATTGCCAGAGAATGTGTAGGCCTTCTTACTTGATTTAATTCAATTGCAGAGAAACTGGTCACTTTATTAGAACGAAGTGTAGATTTATACAGACCCGGTAACCGGGAACAAAGTCACGAAGTATACAGACCCGGTAGGGGAACTTTTGTATGATTTTGGAGTTTCAGCGCCCAGACCCGCTAGTTTGGGCTTGGGGGTGTGTGTGAGAGAGAGCAGGGGGAAGTGCTAGCAAAATGTATGTCATGCCCACAGAATTCTACACTTTACAGAATTCTGTGGTCATGCCCCAGTTGGCAGGAGGGAACGAGAGAAAGATAGAGTGGGAAATAGGTGGGGAGAAAGAAAGACAGACAAACAAAGAAAAAGAGAATGCGAGCGATACACCACAGAGGAGAGAGAGGGGGGGGGGGGGGGGCAGAGAAATAGAGAGGGTGACTGCTCAATGACATTTTTGTTTTCTTCAAATTGTGATTCCTCCAACTCCAAAACGGAGGAAAAACGATCGTTCATCGAAAAGACATCAGATCTTGATCTAGGGTAGCCTCGAAACTAGATCAATGATTTATTTCCGTCTGTGTAGATAGATCTAGACCTAGGCCATAGATCTAGAAGAACCTAGGTCTATCCTGAGCCAAGAGGGCGCTGAAACTTTCCGAAACCACAAAAGACTTCCCCTACCGGGTCTGTATACTTTGTGACTTTGTTCCCGGTTACCGGGTCTGTATACACTCTCTTATTAGAAGGCTATTTCAAGAACAGAAGTGTGAATTTTGGGAGTGTCTATGCACACATTTGCATGCTCTAACTCATTTTTTGCTATAGATTCTAGATCTAGCCTACGCACACTAATTGCGTGCTGCATGCCAAAGATTCTCTACCAAGATATATATTGCACTTGCTCTCTGGACTTTTGTCCATATCGTGGCTGGCCCGCTTAGCGCGTGATGGGCTATACCACTAGCCACTAGGGGATGCGAGGTTGGTTTCTTCCAGGGGGGAAAGTTTTCCAGTTCCTGCCGGAATTTCCGGCTACTTGAACTCATCCATGGGCCTCTCTCCGGCTACACAGGCCGGGCAAGTCTTTCATAGCCGGCGACGTGACAGTCATTTTTATTTCGTTGCCGTGCGACAAATTTTCGGTTTAAAAAAACCGGAGTGGTTATTCTCACCCGAATGGAGGATAAACTGGATACTATTCTCAATAACGACAGCCTACTATTCTCACCCGTTTTTTTTTGGTTTCCGCCCTTTTTATTTCGCTTCAGGCATCATAGGACCCCTGTCACTTAACGCTCCAGGCGACAGAACTCGCATCCCTCTCTCACTCCGCTGAGCGCACGACGCGACTAAAATCACCAACGGGCGGGTCAGCTCTCGAGCGCGGGAGGCAACTATTGTCAATTTGGGGGAAAACATTATCTTTTGAGAAAATAGCGTCACCTTTTCTTGCTATTATTTATTATTGGTTCTGTGACGGAAAATTTTACTCTTGAATGATTTAACCAATCAAAATAAGAAAAAAGTAAGCCTAGGATCAAGGCACTGCGTGCCATGGTAATAGTTGCATGTTTGTTTTATTTGTTGTCTTGAGGAGTAGAGGCAATTAGATGTGTGGGGTAGCTTGGGACGAAAACATCCCCTTAAATCAGTTAATTTTCTACAGAAGAACAGATGATGTTCCACTGTCTCTGAGGGGTAGTCACATAATGGGCAGGCAGCAGACTGCTTTACTCCAATTCGGTTGAGATGTTGGTTGAGGGGTACATGTTGTGTTCTAAGTTGGAAGATTATGGATTGATCTCCCCTCCTCAACTCATTGATTGGATCTTTGACCAACAGCTTTCAGTTAAAGCTATTATTTTTAAAACGAAGTGACTATTTCTCCGAACGTTCGGAGAAATAGTGCCGATCTTTATTTCTCCGAACGGTTTCCGGCTTCCGGTCTCGTGATTTTTTGCCTATTTATTGCGAGAGTTCGGCGCCAACTTTCATTCTGCCTCTGGTCTGGGAAGGAACACTGCATGGCAAGCCCGCCTACATGCAACCTTCAGTAACACCCACCACACACCCACCACCATCATGCACATGTACACACACAAACTTATACACACACTAACTAAACATGATCAGTGGGCAACTTTTGAACGTATGACGAGCTGAGTTGAGTTGTGGATGGAGAGACAGTGTGAGTGACAGAACGGGTGAAAGGTAGAATTTACGAGTGTATCCCCAGGTGACAGCAACTACAAGACGACGACACCGACACCCCCCCACCCCATGGTTCGCAGGGTGCAAGGGAATGAATGAAATTTTCTTTGTGTGTGCCTGGAGGGAGGGGGTGGGGTGTGAAAGTCATGAGGACGGGGATGAGCGGCGGGAGAGAACACGGGAATTGAACGAATGAGTGAAACTGAAAGAGAGGAACGATTCATGAGCCCTGGAATGTAGATCCTGTGCTTCTATTTTTGTATACTTTTAACTGTTACTGAATAAAGGCTGAAATTTAAAAACAAATTTGCAGGAAAGGATGTGATTTCAGAGTGTTCGGAGAAATAGTGCCAAGCTTTATTTTCCCGAACGTTCGGAGAAATAGTGCCTAGCTTTATTTTCCCGAAAGTTCGGAGAAATAGTGTCAGCCTTTTTAAAAACATACTACTCTGGCAAGTGAATTCCTTTCTGAATTTAGAATATACACTTGTCTAGGGTTTTGGTGAAGAATGGGTGAACACTCTAAAGATTTTAAAAAATGAAACAATAACAATCCCCGCGGGACCCTAGAAAAATCTGCCAGCGCTCGGGGGCAGGTCACGAACGGTCACTCTTACTATGAACAAATTATTTTCTGTCATCCTATTATTAGCCTACATGTAGGCCTACCCGTTCTCAATGCCCAGGTCAGGTAGGCCTAGGAATAAAAATCCATTGTATTCTCAGACCAGGTGGGAATAAAATCCAATCACGGGATCTGGCTTGTCACCCCGTTTTTACTAGATCTAGGTACCTAGTTTCTGACTCGTTTTTTTTTTTCCCGGTTAGTCGAATGTTTTGAATACCAGGTACCTATTTATTCGGG